TGAGGCATTCAATGGCCCTGTGTGATTTTTGTCTCTTGGAGGAGCAATTTTCCCCAGTAAACAGCCTGTTGGCTTTCTCATCTGTTAGCACAAGTGCCTGTGTACCACCGAGCAGCATGAGACCTCAAACTATACTGCTTTTTTCTAAGAATCAAGTAGACGACGGGGTGTGTGTGTGTGTGTGTGTTAGCAGATCCCCAGGGAGAGCAGCCACAGTTGCCAGTGTGTATCTTGCCACTTAGTTTTTATAAAGGTATAACAGGCTTGCTGACTGTGGTTCTGATTTTATGAAAGAGAATTGATCTCGAAGATCTGGCCCTGCAGAAGCATATCGAGGAAGGAGCTGTAAGATCGGAGCAGAGACAAGGGCAGCAGCTGAGGCAGCTTGAAATCTACAGTGTAATAGAAGGCCCAGGGAAACCTGGATGAGGACCAGTGTGTAGCTCTCCCTAACAGAAACATTGAGTTCATCTGGGCCAAAAGAGAATCAAGGGTCAGCCTTCTTCCTGGGACAGAAGAGATTCTAGATAAGTGTAGGAAGCTAAAAGTCTACAGAGAAGGAATGGTTGCTGCCCCAAAAACTGAAAGGTACTGAGTGACATGAAGTAATACCTTATTCTAAACTGCAATCTACTATTTGATCAGTTTCATTTTATTCAAAAATAACAGGGGATGTTATTGTTTGATTGAATATTATCAAACTGGCTCTAGGGGTTGAAAAAGCAATGCCTGGCCATCTTTCACTCTAGGTACTTCTGATTAAATGAACAAGAATCTCTAGGTGAGGGATCCAGAGACGGATAGCTGCAAAAATTTTTCAAGGTAATTTTACTGTGAAGCGGGGTTGAGAACCACTGGCTTAACCAGAGAGGGCAATGTTGCCAAAAGGAGCCAGATGAGTGCTGGGGTGAACAGGCTGTGAAGCCTGGGCATAACTTGAGACAAGAAATTTTCTGTGTTCATTCTTGCATGGTACTGACATATGAAGAACTGAGTCACAAAAGGAAGTGATGGGCTTGTCACTGGGTTGGTAATAGTGACTTCAACCTATTTGTACCAGTCAAAAACTAGATTTTGCAGAACCTCAAAGTATAGCCAGGATCAGATAGGATGGTGACTTGTAATGAATTTAGTTGTTTGATTTAGTCAAGTAGCAAGGATTCCCAAAATAAAAACCCACTTATGGTATTTAAAAATTAAGTAGGTTTGTAGTAGAAACATAAAGAGAAATTTAAAGAACTACGAACCAGATCCTTGGGGACTAAAGTGACATCTTGTATTTCTCAGCCATTTGATCTACTTCATCTCTGTCCTTTGCACAACGGATTCATTCTTCCATTTCAATTGGCTTCTGTGCATTTCATAGAAGATTTTATATGAGTTCTCCAGTCTTGATGCATCATTATCTATCAGATCCAAAACCTCCTGTAGTGGATTTGTAACTAGTGACCAATTTATTACACCCAGATGAATTGAACTAGCATAGTGCTGGGTGTGGGAAACCCCCCTGAGGATTTTTGCCAGCAGCATAAAGGCAGAACAGGAGAAGCTGCGAGAATGCTGTTAGGGAGGCTATTTGGAGAAGCTTTTGGAAGCTGTTGGTTCTCCTGGGCTGTTCTGCTGGAGGACCTCGTTATGCTGGCCTTCCTGATGAACTTTGGAGGAGCTCTGGTCCTCATCTTGAGCATCACTTCCTGGCTCCAGAGGGAAAGATGGTGCACTGTTCAGCCTCATGGAGAAGCTTGTCACATTGACTTTCCTGATGGGAACTCAGCTTTCCTCATCTCTAGAGGAGCTTAGGACCTCACTGTTGCTGGAGATGGAGATGGCTGTGGTACTTTTGGAAAAACTCTGGTGCTTAACTTGAGCATTCCTTCCTAACTCCAGGGCAGATCCCTCAGCCTGCTAGCACAAATTCTTCATCCTACTGGCATGAACTTTCTAGCTTTCACCACTCACCTTTGGGTCTTTCCAGCACAGATCCATGAAGTAGGATCCAGGATGTCAGGTGGATTCTTTAGTATTTAGTGTGTGAATAGATTTCCTGAACCTGCTGTATATGATTCTTGGAGGATTCCCTATAAACTAATATTCTAAAACGTGTCCTATATTATATTGTTCCCCTTGAAAAAACCCCAAACTACGACACCTACACTGACTTGTCCTTGTTATGCTGTCTTTTAGTTACACTTTTCAAGAGAGACGTCTGCATAAGGATGGCTATTGTTTAGCTTTATGTCAAGTGCCACTTTCTGACCTTAATCTAGCTTGGGGGTGGGTAGATTCAAAACAGTGTGGTTTTCAGACTGGACACTCAGGGAAACCTTATATAGGTTTCCTTATATAGGAAATATGGGCAAGTTTAGCAATGAAAAACATCAAATATCTGTCAGTTACCAAAGAATTGCAAGGCTTTTATTCTCCTCAATCTTGCATTGTGGCCTTTATCCATTCCTAAGAGATGGGTAAACATAGGTGAGATAAGAAGGAGTTTTAAATAACCACAGACTGGCATGGCCAAAGGCCATCTGCACATCCTCCACATGCATTTATGCACCTGACTGTACATGAGTTGTCTTCTGGAAACCATGGGAAAACCATTGTGGCACCAGCCAAAGCATTAGAATGTCCAAAGCCCTATGGTAGGATCAGTTTTAACCCCACACTGTCTTCCAAACCATAACATGTAAGACCCAAACATATTTAGACAATAAGGAGGGTTTCTATCCTTAGACCAGTATCTGATCATTTGGAAAATTTCTGGTTAAAATGCTACTACAGTGGCTTGACAGTTCATTTGACAGCTCTGAAATAAAGGAGCTCTTAGATAATCTTGTACTAAAATACAAAACGGCTCTTTACAGAAATTGAATGTCAGCCAAGTGTTGTATTCATAAAAGTAGTGGTGTGCTAATTTTTTAAATGCCTCCAGTGGAGTGTAAAGTTGTTTTACAGCCCAACATCAGCTACCGCAGTGAAGAATAGAATGATCTTATAGCTTTTTTCCCATCTAGTTAATTCCAGCTGCTGTGGGGCATGGGGACAGGAGTAGTCTGCCATAGGAGGCAGGTTTAAAGTAAATAATCGAGGACAGCCCCACACCTCCAAGTGCTGCCCAATCTATCTTTCCTTTTTCATTTTTGATGCCCTGGTACTAGAAGCAAAGTAAAGCTAAGAAGAAAACAAAGTGCACAGGAATGAGCAAGAAAAGCTGGTAGCAAATATAGTCCACATTCTCTTTACCCAGATGGTGTAGTCCCTAGTGGCCTCAGCACAGTGCCACAGTGCCAATGTGCAGTCATTTACTTCAGACCCTTAGGTGAAGTCAACTATCTTAGCTTTTGCCCAAGTATGGAAATTCTAGCTGATTAGAACAGAAGATAAATACTTGCATTTTCCTGACAATGCAAAACACCTTCGAACCAAAAGGATGATTTATCTGGGCTGAAAATAAAAGTTCTGCCTACCAAAGTCTGGTGCAGCTGAATTATCACTATTTTTGTCCTGTAATTTGTTTTATAGGGTACTAATTAACAGGGCAAAGTCTGTTGCCAGGAAAGTAAATCCCATTTTGCTGTTCTTCTTTTCTAACAAGACACAGGCCTTGTCTTTAATTAAAGAGTGAGTTCCAAGGGTACCATCAGCTACTGAAATTGGCAAACGGTGGTCAGAGCAGATCATGATGAAACCTGTTGTATCTCAGGGATAATGGGAGAGAGGGGAACAGCATACACAGCCCGGGAAGAAGAAACTGTTCCTCAGAGGGCCTCTTGAGAGTCACCAGTCCTCTAGTCCACACAGTCTTGCACCTTTCCCTTGTCTCTGCTCAATTGACAAGAACACCATAAATATCTGTTTAAAAAGAGAATTTCTTCCCCGGATGCATTCTTGTGCGCCCCGCCCCCCATATGTTCTGTTCTCTCCTCTCCCAGGCCCTGTCCCAGGGGCCCCTCTTCAGGGTTTGTTTTCCACCTGGCCGCTCAGTGACTTTGACCCTGGGATCTGTTTTGTGCCAGGCCACCCATCCCTCCCAGCCCACCCGCTTCGCCCAGCCTTGAGGTCCTCACATCTTTTTCCCCTCTCCCCCATCTCATTCCTGGAGACTCTGGGTTGGAAGTGGAAGATCCGTTTTCTCCTCCCTCTTTGAGCACCCGAGATATCTTTTCGGGGTGAGGGACCGCCAGGCAGAAGAAGGCTTGGCTGGGGAGGGGCGAAGGGCTGTACCTACTCTGAGCCGGAGCCTGACGTCACCGTGCCCCGCCTGTCAATCTTCCGCAGGCGCGCAGCTCGCAGGCGCCTCTCCTGCGCGCGTCTCTCACTAGCGAAGGCGCGGACACAGTGACAGGCGACAGGCATCCCGTGCTTGCCTCCAGGCCAGCAGCTGCTCGATCCTCTCAGGGAGCTCAGCTGGGCTCCGGCCTGGCTCGCATGACCTGAGACCTTTGGACTTCCCAGGTGAGCAGTCGGTCCCTGGGGGAAGTTTGGGGGTTTGGGGAAGGCTCCAAGAGGTTAAGGACAGCACCAGAGTGGGTCTTTCTCGAAGCTAGGGATATGGAGTCAAGCTTGACGCACGCCTCCCGGGGCCAGGCTCTACTACTTTGAACACTTCTTCCCCGGGGCCCTGAGCTCCAGGGTTCTCCAGATAGCCCGAGCACAAACTTCGCGTTCAGCACCACGGACAGCGTCTCGCCACCCTGTTCCGGAAGTGCCCAAACTGTAACAGAGCAATTTGGGATGCACCCGCCCGGGCTCAGAGTCGTAGCTTGACCACTTGGGTGCGCGTGCAAATACAAGCACACTCACGGGGATAATCTTTGAGCATGATAGTATGTACTGAGACTCTGTCTCATTCACTCGCTCGCTCAACAGGTGTTTATGGTGTGTTCCTACTTGACCCTTCCTTCCAGCTCTGCCCCAGGATCCTGAGGAGGAATGGGTGATTCGAGCAGGACATCTGCACTAGCCTTGGGCGGGGGGCTGGGAGCTTAGATCTCACACCTGACACCCACCCTCCCTCTGCAGGGTGCAGTATCTGGCAGCGATGAACGCGAGCGCCGCCTCGCTCAACGAGTCCCAGGTGGTGGCAGTGGCAGCCGAGGGAGCGGCGGCGGCCACAGCGGCAGGAACGCCGGACACCAGTGAATGGGTTCCCCCGGCAGCAGCGGCGGCGCTGGGAGGCGGCAGCGGCGCTAACGGGTCCCTGGAGCTGTCGTCACAGCTGCCTGCAGGGCCACCAGGACTGCTGCTGTCGTCGGTGAATCCCTGGGATGTGCTGCTGTGTGTGTCCGGAACGGTGATCGCGGGTGAAAACGCGCTGGTGGTAGCACTCATAGCGTCCACGCCCGCTCTACGCACGCCCATGTTTGTGCTAGTGGGTAGTCTGGCCACGGCTGACCTGCTGGCTGGTTGCGGCCTTATCCTGCACTTCGTGTTCCAATACGTAGTGCCCTCAGAGACTGTAAGCCTGCTCACGGTGGGCTTCCTAGTGGCCTCTTTCGCCGCCTCGGTCAGCAGCCTGCTGGCCATAACAGTGGACCGCTACCTGTCCCTCTACAACGCACTCACCTATTACTCGCGCCGGACCCTGTTGGGTGTGCACCTCCTGCTCGCCGCCACCTGGACTGTGTCCCTTGGCCTCGGGCTGCTGCCAGTGCTCGGCTGGAACTGCTTGGCCGAGCGTGCCTCCTGCAGCGTGGTGCGCCCGCTGACGCGCAGTCATGTGGCGCTGCTCTCGGCTGCCTTCTTCGTGGTCTTCGGCGTCATGCTGCACCTGTACGCTCGCATCTGCCAGGTGGTCTGGCGCCACGCACACCAGATTGCGCTGCAGCAGCACTGCCTGGCGCCGCCCCACCTCGCTGCCACCAGAAAGGGCATGGGAACGCTGGCCGTGGTGCTGGGCGCTTTCGCTGCCAGCTGGCTGCCCTTTGCCATCTACTGTGTGGTGGGGAGCCACGAGGACCCGGCCATCTACACTTATGTCACCCTGCTGCCTGCCACCTACAATTCCATGATCAATCCAATCATCTATGCCTTCCGCAATCAGGAGATCCAGCGTGCCTTGTGGCTCCTGTTTTGTGGCTGTTTCCAGTCCAAAGTGCCCTTCCGCTCCAGGTCCCCTAGTGAGGTCTGAAGGGCTTCTTCCATGTCCTCTCACCAACACCGCATCCCCCACAAGCCAGCCTTCGGTGAGCTTCTTGGTGCCTGCCTATGAACTCTAAGATCCCTGTGGTGTGACTCTGACTTTGAGAGGGGCAAAAGAGGGACTAAACATACATGCAACAAACTCACAAGGACAGCGAGGCTTGTTGGTACTTTACATATACAGTGTATACATGTGTACATATATATACAAATATTTGTATCTTCTGGGGTGTTCAGGATGTGGAGCTTCCTGTGCTGTGAAAAACTATCTAAAAGATGTGGTTGTGTACTCAAGTTGTACATCACATTTGTCAAGTGAAGACATTCTAATATTGCTTACTATAATAGCACTTTATTTTTAGCTGCTGACCTGCCAAAACAGTGTTGCCATTTTCAAGGGCAGAGGGGAGGGAATAAAAGGTGTATTTTTGTTGTATGTGATAGAATATTTTGCTGCACATGCATCGACAAACTACAACATATTTTGTACACAAATAAATACATTATAAAAATGTGATTTTGACATATGATTAATAGGATTACTAGTTGAGAGCTGAATTATGAGTGCATTTACTTTAAAAGTTTATCCCATATGGTCTCCCTCCTGAGAAAATCTTACTGTACGAAATCCTATCCATTTGCATTCTGCTCATACATTCACCAAAATACCAAATCCAGATGATGAGGGAGGGCTGGGGAAGATAACAGTATTCACAGAACACTGGTTAAAACACACTTGCCACTCTTGTCAATTTCTGAAGCAGGTTGGTAAGCCCTCTTTTTTTTAAGTATCTTTACAAGATACAACTTCAAATACAGTAAATATTGCTGCAAAGTGCCATCCAACAGAAAGTCAGGTTTATAAAAAAATGACAGTGCATCTTCACATACCTTAGTCGCTGGTTCTTCCCAAAGTCAAAATGACCAGGAATGATAAACTTTTTGACTTGATTCAGAATACCAAGGTAACTGTGACAGCACAACTAAAGCACTCATGAAAGACATCCAGAACTGCTTCAGGAAGTGACCGGAATGTTGGGATAAGTGTGTCTGAAGCGAAGGGGAGTATTTTGGGAATTAATAACAATGTGTCTTTTGCTATAATATTCATTAAAATTGAAACATATGATCATATTTTGCCATCATAGCTCATATGTCTTATGTCTTCAGAAGATAAATGAAGACATGTCCCACATCCCCTCTGGAGGTGCTCCCAGCTTGTAAACATAGCATTAAGATGCTCAAAAGCTAAACACTCCCATTCCACTTTGGGTGTGAGTCATGACCTCTCTTTTTACAGGATAAGTAAGAGAACTCATATGGGAATGCTCTGTGCTCCTGGGGGGAGCTCATGCCCCCAAGCACAAGTAGTTACTAGTCTCTGCCCTCATGAAAATACACACAGCAATTTTGTCAGTAGATTTCCTATTTATTAGGTGCCTACTATATGCCAGATATGATGGCAGGGCTGGGGATACAATGATGAAATAAATAGGCAAACGGGTCTCTGTGCTTTTGGTGTTATGTTCCAGGGGAAGCTGGCCTGCATGCAAATAAAAAAATGCAAAATGTCACACTAGGATAACTTCTATGAAGGGACAGGAAGCACAATAAGAGGGGGCAAGCAATAGAGGCTGTTCCATTGGTTGGGGTAACTCACAAAGTCATTCTGAGGAGGCAACTCTTAGGAGGAAGGCAGTAAAGTGGGGGTGTGGGGCATAGTGGACTATAAGGGAGTAGGTCTCCAGGCAGAGTGCAGCAAGTGTGAAGGCCTCAGGAGGAACATATGGAGAAAGTTTAAGGCCAACACAGCCCAACAAAGTGGGCAAGAGGAAGAGAGGTGCCACAGGAAACTAGGTCTCATGCTGGACGGAGCCAGCCTCCTCCTCCTCCTCCTCCTCCTCCTTGCTCTTCAGTTCTTAGTGCTCTTGCTGAAAGGTTCTTACCTATTTTCATTGTTTATTAGTACAGGCTTGCAGTACATAATGATTACATTCCTCATGGGAGCTGGTGCGTGGACTTAACACATCTTAGTCCTCTTCAACCCCCTCTCCTCTTTCCCTCAGCACTCCTTTCACTTCTTGGTCACTTTGAGTAAAAGAGTGAAGAGAGGGGCCATTAGTTACTAAGCAAGGAAGAACCAGTGGAGGAGTTATATTGACAGGTGAGTGGGTGAATTTTATGTGTCAACTTGACTGTGTCATTCTGGGGGCTGGTGAGGCTTTTGGGAGCTGAGATTAATACTGGAATGGGTGGATTTTTAATAAAGTAGATTGGGCTCCATAATTGAGGTGGGGTGGCAAAATCAAGCATATAAGGGCCTTAATAGAACAAAAAGACTAGCCCCTCCTGAGCAAAAGAATTCTCCAGCAGACTGCCTTCAGATATTACCTGCAAGATTGGCTCTTTTGGGTTCTACAGCAGAAAGCTCTGAGAGCATCAACTCTCCTAGGTCTCCAGACTGTTATCTCACCCTGCAGGGACTGGATTTGCCAACTTTCATAATTGCAAAATCCAGCCACTTCCCATTGGATGAATGATACCTTCATCCAATCTTCATCCAACCACCCAATCTCTCTTCCCCACCTCATGTCTTGAAAATCTTGACTAATACAAGAAGGATGAGTAATTTTAAAGGTTTTTTTCCAATTCCTAAATAGAGAGGAGCTCATGTAGACAGTTTATTTGTTTCACAAACACTTTTAAGTACTTACTGTACCTCAGACATTGTTATGAACACTTAAATATCAGCTCATTTAATCACCCCAACAGTCCTGAACTAAGCAGATCCCAGAAACAAATAGCCAGCATGCTCAAACCAGATGAGTGAGCAGTTTCATGAAGAGTCTTTTAAAATTAAAACATGAGTTCAATTAAAGGAACCCAACAAGGGAGTGAAGCCCCCCTCTGCTCCCCGCTCACACCAGAAAGACTACTTGAGAGGAATAAGACTTCAGCACCTACAGTCAGGAGAAAAGGATGGAGGTGTTGGCCACACATCCAGATCTGTGGACCTTAGTAGAGGAAAGCAACTACTGCCAACTTGTGGCCTGACAAAGAGGGAGAGTGGTGCAGTAGTAAATTCCTGGGCCACAGTCTCCTCCCTCCATCTCCCTCCCTGAAAGCAACTTCCATTAATTAAACTCAATCGAACACCAAAAAACATGGAACTGGGGATTGAACGCAGGCCCTTGCGCTTGCCAGGGAAGCACTTATTCTACTGAGCCATCTCCCCGGCCACAAGACAGATCTTTGATGCAAAGCATGTAGGTCACTTTCCTCAGGCAGTGAGTAGGTAGAAAAGGTTGAAAAGTAGATCTGCCAGTTCAAACAGAGAATGCCCAGCATTAATGCTATAAGCAAGGTACTCCTATTATTACGTTCACTTTACAGATGAAGCAAATGGGCAGAGAGGTCTGCTATACACATCTAGAGTTCAAGAGATTCATGTTGAATGAATTCTGACTTTATCAACTTATAGGTGGTATTTAAGACCATAGGTCTGGGTGAGGCCACCTTAGGAGTACTTGTGAACAGAGAGAAAGAGAGGAAAAGAGAGAAGAGAGAAAGAGAAGAGGAGAAGAGGGGGGAGGGAAGAGGGGAGGACTGAGTACCAATGTTATGGTTTGTGTCCAAATGTCCCCTCAAAGCCTCATGCAGTCATGGGGTGGGCTTCTAGAGTTTGTGATTGGTCCATGATCCAATGCTGGGATTATGGGTGTGCGTGCTACACCATCCCTGGGACAGGTAGCCTGTGTACAATATAAGGGAGGGAAAGAGGCTTGCTCTCCACTCCTCCACTTGCTCTTTTTGTTTTGCCATTTTCTGCTGCTGTGAGTTGTTGCCCTCTGCCATGTGTCAGTCTGCCTTGGAGTTAGCTGAGTATGAACTGAAACCTCCACAAACCATGAGCTACACAAACCTTTCTTTCCTTCCTTAATTTCAGATGTTGGTTATTTTGTCCCAGCAATGAGAGAAAAGTAACTAAGACACCCAGTGACCCAAGGTGTCTAGAAATCAAGGATACCAGGAGGATCAAGCAAAGGTGAAAGAGAAGCAGTAAGTGAGGTAGGAGACAAACAAGACCTCACAGTGACCTGGAAGACAGGAGAAGAAGCTGTCTGAGGCAGAAGTTAATAGGCCCAAATGTTGCTGGCAGGATAAGCAAAGTGAGGACCTAAAGAAACTCTGGTTGCTATTTGTTTCTCAATAAAATTAATTAAAAAAAAAAGAATGACTGAAGATTTCATACAGTCAATGTCACTGTCAAACTTAACAGGAGGAGTTTAGGGGAGGAAGACGGAAGTAGACCCTGACTAGAAAATGCACGAGCAGTCTTCTTCAACAGCCCACAGCACAGATGTGGCCTTTTGAACACTGTCACACAACTATATTCTATAAACGTAGTGTTCATACTGTCTATAAATTTAGAGCAAGGAAGATCTGCATGGTATTGCTTATTTATCAAATTTTTCTAAAGAGCTGGCATTCATGGACTCAGCATCCTCTGAAGTCCTGGTATCTGGACTCCACTCAAATGCACTGAAACACAATTACACTAACTGTCAACTTTCACAAACATGGTGGGGAAAACAGTATAATTTCAGAAGTGGAACAAAGTAGTCAATATTATGATACAACTTATAATTACAGAGAAAAATGTCCTGCAATCTGCACATTATGAAACTTCAATGTGAGAATAATAAGATACAAGCCACAGTTCTGACTTCATTCTACTTGGTATTAATATTCAATATCAACCCCCATCCTAATCAGAATGTTCAGGAGAGCTGAGAACAAGAAGATACTAAACAATTAGATACTAAACCCTGACTCTCACAGTTGGCCAGGCCATGTAATGTCAATACATTTGACATTAACCAATGTGGTAATGTCAGAATATAAAACTGAGTAGATTTTGAAACACTTTTATAGAGTCATCACATATTCATCTGACCTACCAAATATTAATTAAGACTCTCCTATCACAAGACACAATGCTAGTGTCTAGAAGCACACAGTCACTTAGAAAGAGAAAGCCTCATTCAAAGATTCACCAGACAGCCATTCTACTGTCTAATGGACATCCTCCTTTGAACACATTTCAACTGGGCCACTGATCTTATCCCCTAAGCCTACTCTTGCCATTTATTTTCTATCCATCTAAGTTATTAACAGTGAAATTTTAGGCCAGAAGCCTTGAATCTTACTTACCTTTCCCTTATACATCATGACCCCATGTCAACAAAGCCTGTTGTTTTTATTTTCACAGTAGGTGTACCCAGAATCCAGACAGTTCTTCTCCTCTACACCATTACCAATATACAATATCCACTTTGCTGCAGTGGCCTCCTATCTGGGCTCCTCTTCAGCACCTCTGCTCTTTAGCCTGCATCCACACAGTGCTCATCCCAACAACAGTCACTTCCTTGATTACTCTCATGGTGGGGGCACCCCCAGGAGGAATGTGATCTGTCTCAAAAGGATAAACTTGGAGAAATCATCTATGGGTCCT